GTTTGCATTTGTATATTTAGATCCCACCTTAATATATTGTATGATTTTTATCGTCATTTTATCTGTCATTAAAAAAATGAACTTTATCTCCAAAGCAAAACTTCTAACTCCTAACCATGAAAAAAACCCTTTTTCAGGGATCCCTGGGTGGCACAGCGGTTTGGCGCCTGCCTTTGGCTCAGGGCGCGATCCTGGAGACCCGGGATCGAATCCCATATCGGGCTCCCGGTGCATGGAGCCTGCTTCTCCCTCTGCCTGTTTCTCTGCCTCTCTCTCTCTCTCTCTCTCTGTGTGACTATCATAAATAAATAAATTTAAAAAAAAACCTTTTTCATATCTTTGGACCCTTGAAATTCTTTTATAAAATATAAAGCGCTATATAATAAGTACTTAGTACACTGTTCAGTACATTAATATAGAGATGCTTATTAGGTGATATCTATTATAATTAAAAATAATAGAGTGGATTTTTACTTTTATCAAAGAAATGCATGTACATAGTATAAGAGTCAAATAGGGATGCCTGGGTGGCTCAGTGGTTGACCATCTGCCTTTGGCTCAGGGCATGATCATAACATGAATAAAATCTTTAAAAAAATCAAATAGTACTACAAAATTTTTTTTAAGATTTTATTTGAGAGACAGCGCTAAACCACTGAGCCACCTGGGCTGCCCAGTAGTACAAAATTTAAAATAAAAAATAGGCACTCCCTTTCCCATCCTGATTCTTGTTCCACTAGACACAACCACTTTGTTTAGCTGCTTTTTCTCCCCTTTCACATGGTATCAGCTCATATCCCCGTGTAGAAGATAATTATTTCTCTCTTCTGAAGGTCCCTTACCCACATCTTCCCATATTATTTATGTGGAAATCATCTCACTCTTTGTTGTCTTATCATCATTTTCTTCTAGAACTTTCATAGTTTTAGCTTTTAATTTTTTAAGATTTTATTTATTTATTTATTCTTGCCTTATTCCTGATCCTAGAGAGAAAGCATTCAATTGTTTACTATGAAGTACTATATTGGGGTGCCTGGGTGGTACAGTTGGTTGAGCATCCAACTCTTGGTTTTGGCTCAGGTTGTGATCTCAGTGTCATAAGATTGGGCTCTGCTCTCAGTGAAGAGTCTGCTTGAGATTCTCTCTCCCTCTCCTTCTGCCTCCAGCTCCTGTGCACCTGCTCTTGAGCTTGTGCTCTCTCTCAAATAAATAAATAAATCTTTAAAAATATAAGTATTATATTAGCTGCAGGTTCTTTGTTATGGATACCCTTTTTAAGGTTGAAAAACATTTTTAGGGATCCCTGGGTGGCGCAGCGGTTTGGCGCCTGCCTTTGGCCCAGGGCGCGATCCTGGAGACCCGGGATCGAATCCCACGTCGGGCTCCCGGTGCATGGAGCTTGCTTCTCCCTCTGCCTGTGTCTCTGCCCCTCTCTCTCTCTCTCTCTCTGTGACTATCATAAATAATAAATAAAAATTAAAAAAAAAAAAGAAAACATTTTTAAAACATTCTAGTTTCCTGGGAATATCATAAATAGGTGTTAAAATTTTTAAAAGATTTTATTTTTAAGTAATCCTTATGCCCAATAGGGACCCTGAACTCATGACCCTGAGATCAAGAATTGCACATTCCACCAACTGAGCCAGCCAGGCATCCCATATTTTTGTGTGGGGGGGTTAAATTTTGTCAAATGGTTTTTCTACCTCTGTTGACATAATCCTTTGATTTTTCTTCTGTTTTCTATTATTTGGCAAATTACATTGCTTTAAAAAATTTTTTCTTCCAAATTTTTATTTAAATTCTAGTTAGTTAACATTATACTTAATAATGGTTTCAGGAGTAGAATTTGGTGATTCATCACTTACATGTAATACCCAGTGCTCATCACAAGTGCCCTCCTTAATACCCACCACCCATTTAGCCCATCCTCTGCCCACCCACCTCCCTCCATCAACTCTGTTCTCTATCGTTGAGTCTCTTATGGTTTGTGTCCCTGTCTCTCCTCATTTTTACCCCTTTCCACATGTTCTTCTGTTTCGTTTCCTAAATTCCACATATGAGTGAAATCGTATGATATTTGTGTTTCTCTGACTAGCTAATTTCGCTGTAGCTACACTGTAGCTCCATCCAACATTTATTTTTTTTAATTACATTGATTTTTGAATGTTAATCTAACTCAGCATTCCTGGGATAAACCTCACCTGATCATAATGTACTATTTTTGTTATAAATTAGAATTCTATTTGCTAATGTTTTGTTAAAGAGTTTTGTAGGGCAGCCCTGGTGGTGCAGCAGTTTGGTGCCGCCTGCAGCCCAGGGTGTGATCCTGGAGACCCGGGATCGAGTCCCACATTGGGCTCCTTGCATGGAGCCTGCTTCTCCCTCTGCCTCTCTCTCTCTCTCTCTGTGTCTCTCATGAATAAATAAGTAAAATCTTAAAAAAAAAAAGAAGAATTTTGTAATAATGTTCATCAAGGATGAAGTTTTCCTGTCACTTTGGTTAATGTTGGCTTCTTTTTTAAAAAATATTTTTTTTTATTTTTTACTTTTTAAAAAGATTTCTTTATTTGAGACAGAGAGTCTGCACACAAGTAGGAGGAGGGGCAGAGGGAGAGAGAATCTCAAGCAGACTCCCTGCTAAGTGCAGATCCTGATGCAGGGCTTATATGATCTCATAACCCTGAGATCATGGCTGGATTCTAAATCAAGAATGGGATGCATAACTACTAAGCTACCCAGGTGCCCTTTAAATACTTTATTTTTAAGTAATCTCCACATCCAATGTGCATCTCAAACTCACAATTCTGAAATCAAGAGTTACAGGCTCTACCAACTGAGCCAGCCAGGTATCCCAACACTGACCTCTTAAAATGAGTTGGAAAGTATTCTTTCCTCCTCTAATTTCTGAAAGCGTTTTTATAGATTTTACATATTTCTTTCTTGAATGTTTGTTAGTATTCACCAGTAAAGCCATCTGGGCCTGGAGGTTCTTTTTTTTTTTTTTTTTTTTCTCCAAGAGTCTATGTATTCATGAGAGACACAGAGAGAAAGAGAGAGAGAGAGAGAGAGAGAGAGAGAGAGGCAGAGACACAGGCAGAGGGAGAAACAGGCTCCATGCAGGAAGCCTGATGTGGGACTTGATCCTGGGACTCCAGGATCATGCCCTGGGCCGAAGGCAGGCACTAAACCACTGAGCCACCCAGGGATCCCCCTGGAGATTCTTTGTAGCAAAAATTTTAATGACAAAAAAAAAAAAAAATTAATGACAAATTCAGTGTTTTAATAAATGGAAGGCAATTCAGATTTTCTAATTTTTGTGTGTCTGTTTTAATATTTGTGTCTTTTCAGAAATTTTTATCCTTTTCATCTAAGTTATCCCATTTATTGGCATAAAGTTATTTATAATATTTCCTTATATCTTTTTTTTAAAAAAGATTTTATTTATTCATGAGAGACAGGGAGAGAGGCAGAGACCTAGGCAGAAAGAGAAGCAGGCTCCCTGTGGGGAGCCCAATGTGGGACTTGATTCCAGAACCCTGGGATCACAACCTGAGTCAAAGGCAGATGCTCAACCACTGAGCCACCCAGGTGCCCTCTCCTTATATCTTTTTAATATTTGTAGAATATGTAGAGACGTCTTTCATTTATCCCTGTTGTGGGTAATTTGTCTCTCTTTAAAATTACAATCTAGGGGCGCCTGGGTGGCTCAGTCAGTTGAATGTCTGCCTTTAGCTGGGTCATGATCCCGGCATCCTGAGATCAAGCCCTGCATGGGGTTCCCTGCTCAGAGGGGAACTTGCTTCTCCCTCTCCCTCTGCCACACCACCTGCTTGTGCTCTCTCTCTTTCTCTGTCAAATAAATAAAATCTTGTTTAAAAGTTAAGAAAAATAAAATTACCAATTTAGCTATTTATTAATTGTATTGCTTTTTTCAAAAAGCCAAATTTTGTTTTTATTGCTGTCTGTTTTGTTTCATTGGTATTCTCTCTTCTTTTTATGATTTCCTTTCTTCTACTTATTTTGGATTTAATTTGCTCTCCTTTTTCTAACTTCCTAATATGAAAGCTTAGATCAGTGATTTTAGACTTTTCTTCTCTTATAACATAGCATTTAAACCTATAATATCCCTTCTAAGCATAGCTTTAGCTGCAGCTCACACATTTTGTTGTGTTATACTCCCACACATTATGTTCTGTTATAATTACCATTCAATTAAAAATTTTCTAGTTTCCCTTAAGATTTTTTATCAGCTTATAGATTATTTAGCAGTGTGTTGTTTAATTTCCAAATATTTAAAGATTTCCTAGATACCTTTTTGTTATTGATTTCTAATTTAATTTCAGTGGGTTCAAAGAATAAATTCTGGGTTATTTCAATCCTAAATTTATCAAGACTTGTTTCAAAACCCAGCATATGGTCTATTTTGGTGAATGTTCTATGTGCTCTTAAAAAGAACTTTGTGGGCAGCCCTGGTGGCTCAGAGGTTTAGTGCCACCTTCAGCCCAGGGTGTGATCCTGGGGCCCCAGGATTGAGTCCTGCGTTGGACTCCCTGCATGGAGCCTGCTTTTCCCCCCTGCCTGTGTCTCTGCCTCTCTCACTCTGTGTCTCTCATGAATAAATAAAATCTTTAAAAAAAAAAAAAAAACTTTGTTGGAAGGAGTGTTCAAGTTCGTTGACGGTATTTTTCAGATGTTGTCTATTCCTTCTGACTTTGTGTCTACTTCTCTCAATTTTTTTTAGGGAGCCCGATGTGGGACTGGATTCTAGGATCTCAGGATCATGCCTTGGGCCAAAGGCAGGCGCTAAATCGCTGAGCCACCCAGGGATCCTCAACTCCTCTCAATAATTGAGAGAAGAGTATTGAAATAGCCAAACTAAAATTATACCATTAATTTTTCACCATACTTGATTTATCACATACATATCCATCTATCTTCCCATCATTACTTTGATGCATTTCCAAGTTAACTGAAGACTTCATACACATTTTTCTCTAACTACTTCAGTATGTGTACCATTAATTGAAGATCAATGTTAGCTTGGAATTTTTTTTTTCGGTAAAACAACAAGAAGAAAAAAAATTTAAGTGCAAAGTTAAATGAGTTTGACAAATATATATACTTGTGATACAGACTTTTGTCAAGACAAATGTAACTGGGGCACCTCGGGTGCTCAGTCAGTTAAGCACTCAACTCTTGATCTTACTTAGCTCAGGTCATCATCTCAGGGTTGTGAGTCCAAACCCTCCACTGGGCTCCACACTGGATGTGGACCTACTTAAAAAAAAGATAAATATAACCATCATTTCCAAAAAGTTTTATTTTTTCTTTTCTAGTCAGTCCCTACTCCCTCAAGATGCAATTCCAATTTTCATTTGTTTTCCAGCATACATAAATTTGCCTACTCCAGTCCTTGACAAACTTCATGGGCATGCAACCCATACATTCACACAGGACCCCATGCTTCGAAGGGTACACACTTGGTATAATACAAGCTGTAACAGTCTTGAAATTCTCAGTATTCTAACAAGAAATCTACATTTTCATTTTGTACTAGAACCTGGAATTTATGAGTTGGTCCCACTATAATTGTCATATAAATGGAATCAACCCATATGTAGTTTTTTTGTATAAAGCTTCTTTTGCTCGGCATAACATTTTTAAAAAAGATTTTATTTATTTATTCATGAGAGACACAGAATGGGAAAGAGGCAGAGACACAGGCAGAGGAATAAGCAAGCTCCCTGCAAGGAGCCCATGTGGGACTGGATCCCAGATCCCGGGATTGGGACCCGAGCCAAAGGCAGAAGCTCAACCACTGAGCCATCCAGGTGTCCCTCAGCATAACATTTTTGAGATTCATCATGTTGCATGTGTTGACAATTCTCTTTAATTGCTGAGAAGTTTAGAACTGTATGGATATGCCACAACTTATTTAATCTATTCTATGGATGGAGAGGTGGGATGTTTCAGTATGGTGCTATTACGAATAAAGTTGCTATAAACATTACTGTTATAAGTCTTCTATGGACAAAAGAATGCTTCAGACTAGGTGTCTTATCATGGGGCACTACACTGGAATTTTGGATAGGATATTCCTCAAAATATTTCAAGGAGATTAGCCTCCACTCAATCTACTCAGTCGTTTAAACAACTCAAAAGAGGTGTCTATACATTTCCAGAGCTTTGGGCAAGGCAGTATCACTTCTGATTAAAAGTTATGGCCTTGGGGCAGCTTGGGTGGCTCAGTGGTTTAGCGCTGCCTTCAGCCCAGGGTGTGATCCTGGGGGCCCAGGATCAAGTCCAGTGTCGGGCTGCCTGCTTGGAGCCTGCTTCTCCCTCTGTCTGTGTCTGTGCCTCTCTCAATCTGTGTCTCTCATGAATAAATAAATAAAATCTTTAAAAAAAAAAGAGCTATGGCCTTAAATAATACCATACCTTGATTTCAACAACATATTTTATCTAACTCAGTATTGCTATAAGATAGAAAAAGTGGACTACACAAAAGGTATGCTGGAAGAACAGAAACGAGGTCAAAGGGACTAGAATTTTGTAAATGAGAGAGGAAGGGCTTGAGGCCAGGAGTCAGCTCATGCAAAGCCTTGAGGAATGGTAAAGATTTAATTGTATTGTAGGGATAGAAGCAGGGGACAGACATGAGTTATACTGTAGAAAGATCACTTCTGAATGCTTTTTAGAGAATGCATTGTAAGTGTGCAGAGTATAAGAAGGAAGAACTTAGAAGCCATTGTATTAATCTTGGTGAGAAATTATGTTAACCTAGACAAGAGCAGTGGCAGTGAAGATGGAGAGAAGTACCCATACATAAGAGATGCAGTTTTGGAGTTAGAGCAGATAGGATTTACTAATTCCAATCTGGGATATGAGGGTAAGTGAGGAATCAAAGATCACTCTGAGATTCTTAGCTTCAGCAGCTGAGGGGATAATGGTGCCATTTGCTAATAAGGCGAGAACTGGGGGAGAAAGGGAGTGGGGGGCACATGTCTGAGTGGTCCATTAGTCATCCAAGCAGAGATGTCAAGTGGAATGTGGCATATGTGAGTCTAAATTCATACAGAGTCATCTGTATAAAGATAGTATCTAAAGCTAAGGGAGTATATGAAGTAAGTAGGCAGAGAATGTGGATAGAAAAAAAAGGAGTTCAGGGATCCCTGGGTGGCGCAGCGGTTTGGCGCCTGCCTTTGGCCCAGGGCGCGATCCTGGAGACCCAGGATCGAATCCCACATCGGGCTCCCGGTGCATGGAGCCTGCTTCTCCCTCTGCCTGTGTCTCTACCTCTCTCTCTTTCTCTCTCTGTGACTATCATAAATAAATAAAAATTAAAAAAAAAAAAGAAAAAAAAGGAGTTCAGAAAGGAACCCTAAGGTATCCCATATTTAGAAGTTGAGCTGAAGAGTAGGAATCAGGAAAGAATATTGAGGGGCAGTGGTCAATGAAGTAGGAATAAGCTAGAAGGAGTGTCACAGAAGCCAAGAGAAAAGGGTTTTCAAAATACAGTTAATGGTTAACTGTACTGAGTGCCACTGAGAAGTTGATAAGATGACATAGAACAGTCCACTGGATTTTGGTAATTTTGGTGGAATCACAGTGCTCATGGAGAGAAACTCACAGGAAGTAGAGATCAAGAAGAGAACACATGCAGAGAAGTCTTGCAAAATGTTTTCCAAGGGGACAAAGAAAATGGGGTAGCACAGTGGGAGACAAAGACGCAGGGAAGGGTCTTCTTAATCTGAGAGATAGCACAGCACGTGTACACGGGAGATGGGAGTGACCCAGGAGGGAGGGGGTCGCTGACAGAAAAGGAGTAGCTGAGGAGGGGCATCCTTAAGAAAGGGGGAAAGGGGAGAGAGAATGGGATCTGGTGAAGAGCAGAGACAGCTTTGCTCTTCTACCAGAAGGATGGAGGCAGATGCAGGTACACCAGCTAATGTAAGTCATGGGAGAAGGAAAGTTCCAGTCCCACACTTCTAATTTATCACGGATGTATGAGGCAAGGTCACTAGATGAAAGAAGGGTTTAGGGACGCCTGGGTGGCTCAGTGGTTGAGCGTCTGCCTTTGGCTCAGGGCATGATCCTGGAGTCCTGGGATTGAGTCCCACATCGGGCTCCCTGCATGGAGCCTGCTTCTCCTCTCTCTGCCTGTGTCTCTGCCTTTCTCTCTGTGTCTCTCATGAATAAATGAATAAAATATTAAAAAAAAAAAAAAAAAGAAAGAAGGGTTTGAGATGAATGTGAAAGTTATTAGTTTAAATTTTATTTATTTTATTTTATTTTATTTTAAAGATTTTTATTTATTTATTCATGAGACACACACACATACCGGGAGAGGCAGAGACACAGGCAGAGGGAGAAGCAGGCTCCATGCAGGGAGGGAGCCTGACGTGGGACTCGATCCCGGGTCTCCAGGATCACACCCCGGGCTGCAGGCTGCACTAAACCACTGCACCACCAGGGCTGCCCTAGTTTAAATTTTTATTTTGATATAATTTTAGATTTACAGAAGAGTTGAAGATATGGTACAGAGTCCCCAGTGCCCCGTACCCAGTTCCCCCTAGTGTCAACATCTTACAGGTGCATAAGAACTAAACGTTGGGGATCCCTGGGTGGCGCAGCGGTTTGGCGCCTGCCTTTGGCCCAGGGCGCGATCCTGGAGACCCGGGATCGAGTCCCACATCGGGCTCCCGGTGCATGGAGCCTGCTTCTCCCTCTGCCTGTGTCTCTGCCTCTCTCTCTCTGTGTGTGTGACTATCATAAATAAAAATCTAAAAAAAAAAAAAAAAAAAAAAAAAAAAAAAAGAACTAAACGTTGGTATAATATTATTAGCTAAGCTATAGACTTTATTCAGGATTTCCCAGTTTTTCCACTAATATTCTTTTACCATTCCAGGTTCTGATCTAAGATCCCATATTGCATTTAATCATCCTATGTCCTTAGTCTCTGTGACCACTTCTCAGTCTTTCCCTTTCTCTCAGGACCTTGACACTTTTTAAAAAGTACTACTAGTCAGGGGCACCTGGGTGGCTCACTCACCAAGCTTCTGACTCTTGGTTTCAGCTCAGGTCATGATCTCAGGGTCATGATCCCAAGGTGGTGAGATCAAACCCCATATCGAGCTCCGCATGTATCAACCCCACTCTCAGTGAGGAGCCTGCCCAAGATTCTCTTTCTGCCTCTTCTCTTACCCCCATTCTCTCTCTCAAAGTAAATACATAAAATCATTTTTAAGAAGTCTATTGTCAGTACTCTTGGGTATAGTACAGTTTTGTGCAATATCCCTCAGTTGGGGTTTGTCTGATATTTTCTCATGAGAAGAAGGAAGTCATGGTTTTGGGGAAGAATGTTACAGAGGTGTAAAGCCCCCCTCATTAAATCATCTCCAGGATAGACAATATTAACCTGGTTTGTTACTTCTATGCTTTATTACCTCCATCATTTGAATCACTTATAAGGTAAGTGTCTGCTGGGTTTCCCCACTGTAGAATTGACATGTTTCCCCTTCCACTCCATTCATTTGGAGCCAGTCACTGTGTCTAGCCCACATTCAAGGGGAGGGAAATTAAGCACCACCTTCCGCATGGAGGAATATAAAAGAATTTGTGGACATGTTAAAACCATTAGAGTTATGAAAAAAAAAATCAGAGTTATGACAAACATTCTGGGGGAGATGCTTTGCAGCTATGTTAACATTCAATCTTTCAAAACAAAAAAACATTCTATCTTTCTTTAAAGCTTTTAATGTGGAGGATATTGAGGGGGAAAAGTGAGGATGTCATTTTATTTAAAAAAAAATTTTAGGGTGCCTGACTGCCTCAGTCAGAGGAGGATTCATATCCTCTTGATCTCAGAGTTGTGAGTTTGAGCCCCATGTTAGGTGTAGAGATTACCTGAGTAAATAAAACTTTAAAAAAAAAAAGATGATTAAAATAATTTCTTGGGATCCCTGGGTGGCGCAGCGGTTTGGCGCCTGCCTTTGGCTCAGGGCGCGATCCTGGAGACCCAGGATCGAATCCCACATCGGGCTCCCAGTGCATGGAGCCTGCTTCTCCCTCTGCCTGTGTCTCTGCCTCTCTCTCTCTCTCTCTCTGTGACTATCATAAATAAATAAATAAATAAATAAATAATAAATAAATATATAAATATATAATATATAAATATATAAATAATAAATAAATAAATAAAATAATTTCTTAAAGTACAATCTCTGACAAATTTATTTATTTATTTATTTTACTAATCTCTACACCAATGTGGG